AAAAGCACTGGGAACAGCTGAATCTGTAGGCAAAGGATTTGAATCTTGGTAAGGAGTTGTGATTTAGTAAATGGAAACTGCCCAAAATGGAAACTAGTGATGAGTCCCAGTACAGAATGAAACTGGTCATACAGTGCCTCCTAATGGTTAATCTATATAAATAAAAATGTAAATGTTTGTTTGTTCAAAATCTTAAATCTCCGAAAGTTCTTCACCGATTGCTTTGAAATTTTGACACAACGTTGCATTCGAATACGCACGTGTTTTTATATACCTATATTATATAGATGTCACACCTGTGACAGGTAAAAACATGCTTTTTTTGAAAAACAGCTCCATCTGTTGGACGTAAAAGCAACAAAAACGTGCACTTTCTCTTTTCTTTCTTTTCCATTTAACCAGACTGAGCCACAGCAACGCGTGGCCAGGTACAGCTAGTAGTAAATAAAAGAATTTATTTAAAAAGCTATATATTCCCATTGGGTGTGAGGTTTGAGGCCTTTAGTACAAGGCCCAGACAAAATTAATAGCTGTAAACTCACTAGTCTGAGAATACAAGAGGGGGAAATGGGGGAGGCAAATCTCCATAGCATCTAATTCCTTAGATATTTTTTTTTGTTTGGATTTGGCTTGATCAACAGTTTTCAAGCTGAAATTGTGGCTGAGTTTGCCTGTGTCAGAATATTAAACAAAACTGTTATAGTTAAAAAAAAACAACAGTGACCTGGTTCAAAATAAGTGTGATTCAAGCAGTTTTCTATGTGCTTCAAACCTGATATTTTATTTAAAACAGTATTAATGAAGGGTGAATAGTGAGAAAAGGCCATTCCAGGTCATTATTTAGAAGCCTGATTTCCTTAATGAGCTGTGATACTTTGCCCAGAAAAGAAATAGAAACAGACCACCAAAATAGATCACAGCTCATGATGCCAAATTAGTCATCCAGTTGCTGCATACAATTATGAAATAGCCCATCCAAATGACACTTCACAATGTAAGCCAGAAATGTCTTTTTTCTTGCACTCTTTATTTCTTATTTTGTTTCTGGATAGTAAAAATATTACTGTTAGTTTAGAGTGGTGCTTCTTAACCTTGATAGCTTTAAGCTGGCTGGACTCCAACTCCCAGAATTCCCCAGCCAGCATTACAAAATTGAAGAAGGGGAATGATTGACCCCTGCCTTTAAAGCTGGATTGTTAGATCGCGCAGGCAGTAAGACACGAGTCGAGTGACAGTCAGCTCTCGGTTTATTGGCAAGGCATAAAGTAAATCCGGACTGGCATCTGGGCCAGGGGAGCCCTCTTTTATGGGATTCCCCTGGCTTGTAATCACACAATTCCATTGGCTGGTAAGACCCCGTTGCTAGTTAGCCAACCAGCAACGGGCATGAA